TTTTTTTTTTTTTTTTTTTTTTTGGTTTTTCGAGACAGGGTTTCTCTTTATAGTCCGGGCAGTCCTGGAACTCACTCTGTAGACCAGGCTGGCCTTGAACTCAGAAATTCGCCTGCCTCTGCCTCCCAAGCGCTGGAATTAAAGGCGTGTGCCACCACCGCCCGGCGTTCCCATGAAGTTTAAGCACTGTATAGTTAGAAATAATTAAGACTATGCTGTATGGTGGTGGCGCACACCTTTAATTCCAGTGCTGGAGAGGCAGAGGCAGGCGGATTTCTGAGTTCAAGGCCAGCCTGGTCTGCAGATTAAATTTCAGGTCAGCCAGGGCTACATTGAGAAATATTGTCTATAAAAAAACAAAAATAGACAGACAGACAAGAAAGATCATAAAGTTAATAATGATTAATAAAGGTAAATAAGCAACATAATCAAACATAAAAAAGAAAAAGATTATGGCTCATTCTTTCCAGATTCTCATATATATTTTTTAGAAATAAAAAAATTGTTCCCTCTACCTACTGCATCTGTGATAGAACAAGTCATGTTCGCTCTAAACTCCCATGTTTCAGAAGGTATTTTCTGAATTAAGCATAACTGAGGAAAAGGTTTCGTCAAGGAAATGTCAAGCTGAGGGACTCAGGGTAGACTAAAGGAAAACTCATGCATTCGGCAAAGGCACCACTCTCTGGGCTGTGCAGGACATACCCGATGGCAGCAGGGGTCAGGCGGGTGTGCAGCTGAGGGGTGGCCGAGGTGGTGGTGGTCGTTAAGGAGCCGTCAGTTCCACTCTTCTCCCAGTCAAAGGGGTCACTCTCAATTACTCCAAAGGTCTTGATGCTATTGTCAAACACGGATGTTAGAAGCTAAACCACAAAGAAAAAAAAAACTAGAGTGAGCCAACAGCAATCCAGGCATGTTCATCTAAGGCAAATCCTTTAAAAAGGGTTTATAATGACATTTCCTTCAAAATCCATGGCTCAAAGAAGAAAACAAACGAGGACCATGTGTATGATGATAAGAAATTAATGTTAATTAATGTTGACTGTGGTACTAGTGTGTAGCTGTAGGAAATATTTTATTTACAGAAGATATATCTGGCAGTGGTGGCGCACGCCTTTAATCCCAGCACTTGGGAGGCAGAGGCAGGCGAATTTCTGAGTTCAAGGCCAGCCTGGTCTACAGAGTGAACTCCAGGACAGCCAGGACTACACAGAGAAACCGTGTATCAAAAAACAAAACAAAACCAAAAACAAACAAACAAATCTCTCTCTCTCTCTCTCTCTCTCTCTCTCTCTCTCTCTCTCTCTCTCTCAGCTTTCTATTTATAATCTAGTATTACATAGTTAGGTAAAAGGAAGTATGTAACATGTGAATACATATACTCATATCCACATAAATCACTTATTTGGCTATTTATGTATTTGTAAAGACATTTTTATATGGCTCAACCTAAATAAGTAGCCAGTAGTTATAGCTGGGGTGTCCAAGACAGGAGCATAAAGCAATTCCTTGATCTTTCTTTGTGTGCATATGCCTTTTTAAAACATCTTTTTTTTCAGCCGGGTGATGGTAGTGCATGCTTTTAATTCCAAGTACTGGGGAAGCAGAGGTAGGTGGATCTCTGTGAGTTCAAGGCCAGCCTGGTCTACAGATGGAGTTCCAGGACAGCTATACAGAGAAACCCTGTATCAACAAACTAAAAAACAATCAAACAAACAAAAACAAAACCCAAAAACCCTCAATCACACACACAAAAAACTTTTATATGTATGTATGTGTTTATATACATAAATAGTCAAATTTATGCTTTTAGTATGGCTTGTTTCAAATACAATTTCATCCTTACCTAAACCTGTCCATATGCACTATTTTCAATTTCATGAGTGTAGTTTTATTCTCTAATCGTTTCTCTCACTCTAATATCCTGTCCTCTGAAATGCATTTTCACAGTTCCTGCTCCAGACCTGAAAACAACACTTCTTGTAGAAGCATTTTGCCCACCCCTCTGAGGTTTAAAAAGATGACTCTGGCTATTAAGCGGACAACAGATGCCATAAATAGACTGTGATGATGATAAAAGGTGCTGAGAACCAGTCAGGACCAGTGAGGAGGCTACTTGTCAGTTAAACCCGCATGGTTACAGTGGACATGATAATGACTTGAATGTCATTTGGAAAAGAGCCCAGAGGGCAGGCCACAGGACAGACAGCTGTGAAATGCAGAGTGGGGCAGAGTGGGGTGGTTGGTGACTAGGATAAGTGGCAGAGCAGGCTGGTGACCATTAGCATATAAATACCACTATTTACAGTAATAGGGCCAGTGAATTCCACTTAGGAGTCCTTATCTAGGCCATCTAGACAAAGGCCTAGGTGTGTAGACCTTATTCTACAAAGGTAACCAAGGTTAGAGATGGTCAGTGAAGCCCTAACCCTAGAACGTAGAGTTCTAAAAGTAACTCAAGGAAGCCTGTTTCAACTAGGAGCATGAAATGCTATCACTTAAGTCTATCATTCCGAGTATTTGATTAATTTTTCTTTTAATCTACTGTCAACCCCAAGAAGTCAGCACATGTCTTATCTTATTCATCACTGTATCTTCAGAAACTAAAAAGTCACCTTACAAATAATAGTTATTTTAAAAATATTTCAAGAATAAATATCTATCAGCAAAAATATTTACTGAAAGATTTGTATGACTTTAACTTCCACTTACTTACACAAAGGAAAATGATATAGGACAGGAAATGGAGGAGAGGAAAGGAATTAGAAAAGGCATGATTATAAAATCTTGGAAATTATTTTGGTGCTAATTTTGTTTATGTAGGTTACCTGTGTTGCAGCCAAGGGTACCCCAGAATTTTGAAAGTACAGGGTTACAGAAAACAAAGAGGCTGGGCATGTTGCTCAGTTGTATAGTACTTCCCTTGAGTATGTGAAGGCTCTGAATCTGGACCTATGGACCATGCTGCAGAAGGGGCAGGCTGGGGGGAAGAAAGGGCTGGAGGGAGTAAGGGAAACACAGAGAGGGAAGGAAGGAAGGAAGGAAGGAAGGAAGGAAGGAAGGAAGGAAGGA